GTGTTTTAATCAGTGTAGACGGATCAAAGACTAAGTGACGGTGCATGCAGAACTTTGGCTTGGGTGGCGACGTAGACCTCATCAGTTCATAGAAAATTAATTTCCCATAGAAACGTATATACCAGGATTAAAATTTCAACACCCAAGACAAGAATTTTTTTTTCTCTTTTGTGGTAAATTGATAGGAAAATGGTGAGTTTTTATTTTATCTTAAATGTACTAAATATAAATCACGGAGAAAAGTATCATAAAAGCAAAACACTGCTGAAATATCGCCGGATATCTTCAGAACCACTGATTTAATGGAGATCAAAATAATCTTTAATAGTGAATGACTGAAATAATGATACTTTTAAAAACCGAAAGTTTTGTTGCACTGACTACAAAAGTACGTAGAACAATCAGCCTATTAGCAGCGGTACGTGCACAATTTTGAAAATATATAATATTCCTGTACTTATCGATATATTTAAAGGATCATTAGCTAAGAATTCAAAGTGGACAAAAAATCAAAATATTTTTTTTTTTTTTCAAAAATTTATAAAGAGGCATTGTGAAATACTTTTTCGCTATTAGCAGTCAATTTGGTTTAATTTTGTCAAAAAAGTTCAAATAAATCGATGGTGTATTATTGGCTTGCAAGTCAATAATTGAACTCATTTGAATCCTCCTTCATGCAAACTTTAATTTAACCATTAAAGCGGATTGGCTACGAATGGGCTAAGCATTTTTAGTTATCAAAAAGAAAAGCATGTCCAGATTGGAAGTGAAACAAGACTGCCACCGGTAATATCCCTTTTGTAGACTGATTCTGCCCACAGATAAAACGATGATTTACTTTTTTTTAATCTATGACATGAAATCAAACAGACCTATAAAGCTTATATGATTGCACGTGCTTACCAGATGCTCATTAAGTTGAACAAAGTAGAAAAGCATTGAAAACCAAAGTCAAAAAAGTTGTGTCAAATCTAGCAAAAGCCTGCACTGGCTGGTGGCAGAAAAAAAAATTTTCGAATGATAATCAGGAACGTGAGGCACTAAAAGACATTTTATGCAAACAACTGTGAAACAATCACCTGATAAAAAGTTCCACTCGTTTACGATCACCCAATTGAATGCGCTATTTATATCAACATACTGTTCTATAGGATCGGTTAAATTAAATTCGACGTAACGAGCTACCTACAACGGTCACATCATGTAAAAGAAACCTTTCAAAATATCCGGAAGTGTCTAACTTTCTTTATTTAAATGCAGCAGTCTTTGAAAAACATGGAATTCAATCGAATCGAATGAATTAATTAAAATTCACTGATAATCAAGAAATACGAGGACTGGATTAATCAAAGATTAAATAATCATTTTTCAGTGTAACCACAAATTTGTAGACGAAACGCGCGTTTGGCATACAAATTTTAATCTTGATATCTATGTTGAGTTTATTTACAACCACTGATTCGATGTCACTTCTGGTGGAGGTTTCCTCCCTGGGGGTATCACCAGCCCAGTAGTCAGCACTTATATGTTGACATGAATTGTCAATGATATTGTCATAATTATAAATTAACTATTTATTGTATTTTGGATTTTTCGAAATACTAAGGATGTTCTACCCTAGGAATAGATTACATTAGCTGTATTTGGCAAAACCTTTCAGAATTTGGGTTCTTAATGATCTTCAACTTCGTACTTTATTTGGGTTTTTTTTTCACTTTTTTGATGAGTCGTTTTTGGATATTTCGCGCGTCGTGCGTACAAAAATCCTGGTATCTATGATCAGAATAATTATGTTTAACATTTAGTGTGGTTATAGATATAAAGTCTAAACGATAAATGTCATACAGAAATTAAGAAATTATGTCCTTAATCGGTCTTCCGAAACCCTGTATTATCTATCGGAGGTTTTCGCAAAGACCAAGCTTCATGACATCAAATGTGTTCGACCGATTTTCAATATTGTTTGGCCAGACGTTGATAAGTTTTTTCCGAACCTTTCGAGTCCTTTTCCTATCAGCTTGTAAGAAAGGAAATAACTTTTTATTGTGTCTGTTTGTTTTGTCCACAAATTGTAATGTAATTTTACGCGACTGTCATACAAGTGAGGGGTTTAGCTAGCTATAAAACCAAGTTCAATCCACCATTTTCTACATCAGAAAATGCCTGTACCAAGTCAGGAATATGACAGTTGTTATCTATTCGTTTGATGTGTTTGAGCTTTTGATTTTGCCATTTGATTAGGATTCTTTCCGTTTTTGAATTTTCCTCGGAGTTCGGATTTTTTGTTATTCTATTTTTTTTTTTATCATGTGCACCTACAAGCACATGCAATCCGACAAATCGGTTTGTAGAATAAATGGGGAAAATGTCTCGGTTTAACATACTATTGAACAGTACTTCAATTTTTCACGAACGATGAACGAATAATAGTGTTGATTAGCTTATGGCGAAAAAGCAATATTATTTTAAGTTTAGTTTAATTTTATTAAAAATTATAATTATTGAATTAGTATTAATGAATACAGTAGATATTGTTTATTCTCTATTTCAATTGCAAGTAACTTTTACAAACTTTATCACCAACTGTGTTGATCTTTGATAAGGCTATCGTCAGCAAAATTGTTGACATGAATTTATAATCTCAGCGATTTAGGTTAACGGTTTCCTAAAATTTTATTTATATAATTACTGAAGTCTCGAAAAGTTCAAATCGTAGTTTGCATCGCAGCTAGTTTATACATCACTTTTATTGCTTTTAAGGTTTAGATTAAAAAGTAACGTAAAATTAGGGATTTATCATCATCTCAGACTGTAAAATTGCCAATTAGTATGAATTTGTTATACGAATGAAAAACATCGAAATTTTGTTAAATAATGTGAACAGTTGTACAATGAAAATTATGTATATATTGTAAATATTAAACGTAGATTAGAGAATATTCGTTTTTGTGAGCAGCCAAATCGATTATGGATATGATGATATTGATTTTTTTTAAGAACTTAGGCTTCAACTTACTTTTTTATTTCCGAATCTAGTTTAGTTTGGTCTCCATTTAGCTATAAAGCTCCAAACTGGTTTTAAAGAGCATTGCCTGTCAAATTCATGCTCACTGATTTGACTCAAATTCACACATTTGATTTATAACAAACTTAAACGTATACTAGTATCCAAATTACAAAAAGTCTGAAATAAATAATTAACAATGCATGGAGTCGATAATGTATGTCATGACCAAATATTCGTGCGTATTTTTGTCTAAACGCCATATAATTAACCATCGAGATGACCTCCGAAGAATGCCGGCGGTCTTATAACCCGATATAAACATAAATATAAGTATAAATATATAGCGACCACGTGCAATTGGATTTTTCTAGGTCTGTTTGATTCCATATTGTAGGGTAAAAAGTATGTTTATCATCGTTTTCACCTGTATAAGAATGATTTTTTTTGTGGATCGAATCAGTCAACCAAATGGTTTACCCTTGTTTTACTTTCTATGTTGACATTCTTTTTCTTTTAATAGCTGAAAACATGCGGAACTCATCTCCAGCTAAGGGGTTAAATTGAAGGTCACATGAATACGGATTCAATGAGGTCGAATTATTCACGTGCAAGTGAATAATTCAACAGCGACGTTTCTTAGCTTATTTTGACAAAATTGATCCAAAATCGACTGCTAAAAGCGAATTGTTATTTCACTTTCACTTTCATTAATGATTGAACAAAAGAAATCATATTTTAATTGTTTTTTGTTTTTTTTATATCTCGAAGCTATGCCCCATTAATATTAGGCTTTATCAATTTTTGGCGGTGAGTTTTCCTGAAGAAGATTAATCCACAAATTCATACTGGACGCATCAACCATTGTTTGTTCTTTTAGGATATTTTTACTTGTTGACTTGTCTTTAATCATGTTAAATATTTAAAGGCTTTCATATTTTCATATATTCATGCAGGTACTATAAGCAATAATGTTCTAATTTTACTCTTTTTAATGTCAGATATAATTATTTTTTTAGACTTGTTTAAAATATGAAATGTGGCTTGATAAATATCCCTAACGCTTAATATTGCCCTATTTATTGTTTAATTGCATGGGTCGAGAGCTGTTTACCGTATATCATATATACCTCATTAAAAAAAAACATGTCTCATTTTAAGCATTAAAAGCCAAATCAGGCAACAATAAAACTTAAGTTGAAAGTATAGAATAACCAGGTAAAATTAAAAGCCATATGCAAATAAATATCAACAACTCGGTTAAAACTATACTTTTTTTAATGCGCTGATCAATCAATGTCATTAAGTTGTGAATGGAAGCACCAATATAGAATTTACATTAAAACAATGTCTTTCATTCGTAAAGTGGTCTCAATTTTCATTTGTTAGCGTTGACAAATTACTGTTTTAAAAGCGTTATTTACTAAAAACTTCACAAATGCGGTATTCTAACCCCAATGGAATCGATTGTCAATGTGTGGGGAAACACTGCTAATGGACGTTAATTACTGAACGATTTAAAGTAACACAAATTTGGTGACATATATGAATTTCTACTTCTAAATTTGGTGAATCGTTTATCAAGCAACTATCTATTTTTTAGGTTGCATTGCGCAATAGGTTTTGACAACAGGTTAAATTGTAATACTGTCTACTTAGTAAGGTTCTGTCGACATTGGTCAATACATCGATACATTTCAATACATGAATGCGCCTCCCCTAACCATTCAGTATATAAATGTATAATAGCTCCTAACGTGGCTATGTTTCTTCCACCTCCGTGGCTTTCAAATGTTTAGGTTTAAGCGTTCCTGATGAAGGTAAATCCAGAAAAACGCTTCGGACGCACATAATTTATGAAATGTTATTTTCATTTTCTAAGACATACAATATATAAATGTAACTTCCATTTAATGTGCAATGATATCAAAAAAAATCACTGCCTTGAAATCATACAAATAGTATCGGGGAGCTATACAAACGACAACTATCAAAAACTTCAAAAACTTCAAATTTATTATTCTTAGTTTCAGTTTTACAACACAATGATTGATACACAAGTTGGACATTTTAATCCTGAAACATATATCATTTCATTATCATAATTTTATGGATTGCTATCCCAAAAAGAGACATCTTTAAGAGATTCAAAGCCAGGATTTAGAAAATCTCCAAAAATACATGCTTTCACGATACCCTCAGCAGCTGCGTACGGATCTATAGTTGACGACGGTCGACGATCTTCTAAATATCCACACTCATTCACGATGACAAGCGGTGGAATTCTAACGGACGATTTGGCTTTGTTGGTAGCATCATAAATAAATTTATGAAGCTGTGGATGCCAAGGGCTAGATGTATTTGTCAACCTTTCTTTGTTCTCTTGTGTAAGTGTAGGGTCGTACATTTTCAGAAGGGCATCTTCATCTGACTTCGATAACATGTCTATTGCATGTCGAATAAATCTAAAGAGAAAACAAGCAACAAATATAATTATGAATATCATTATATAAACTAAATAGCTATGGTATTTCATTGGTAAGTATAAATGTATACATTCCATGGACAAACAAACGACAAGAACACAAAACACTTGTAATACGTATCACTGTCTCTTTCTGTAGTTGTGAAGTAATATCAGAATAATGATTTTTAGTCACGATTATCAATTTGTTGATCGGTACAGTATCTCAGTTTTTCATCTTATTAATGATATGCTAGCTGTGTCATATATCCCACAACTTTATTTTAATGTAACGTCATTTCCAGTTTATCCATATTCCTGGTTTTGGTTCGCCTGGTGGTGGTGCATTCAAAACAGGAGACGTTTATCCTGTTGAGGCACCCGGTCTCGCTCTTTCTAAAGTTCGTGCGGTTCCGTCAGTTTTTGTTTTTATATTGGTTTGTATCTTCTTGGTGGATTTATGAGATTTGAACATCGGTTAATTACTGTTGCCTCTTAATGACACTTTCTACTGGATATGAATATGGAATTACGGAACTTATGTTGCATATACAGCGGGATCTGCTTTCCTTGCCGACACAGCTGATTTCATCCTGTTTGGAATTTTCGATATTCCTATTGTTTTATCTCCGAATTTTGGATGGTGTTTACCAGGACATTTGAGACTGATTTGAAATTGGTATATTTTACTACCTGAACATTACGACGACTCAAAATAGATTAAAGAATCTTCAAGTAAAGTTTAATGAGTATGTACCCTTTTGTTGTTTCAATGCATATGGAATTTTATAGAAAATCCTTAGCCTTTCCCTGTCTACTCTTAAATTTGACAATTATGTGCTAAATAGAAAAGAAATAACTGCATGCATGTTTTCCATTTCAATTCTCAATTTTATGCAGTGCTAGCAATGGTTTCCCTTAAACATGTTTTGAAATAAAGATATCAGTTGAAACAATTACAAATATGTACCAATTTAAGTACACCTTCTAGGGTGCGCTCGACTTTAATGACTCAGTATCGGGGTTTTTTATTTAATAGTTATTTAGGACTTTTTGTAAACAATAATCGCTAGTACATTATGGATAAACTAGTGAGTAATCTAAGTTTCAAAATGTTACAACGAACGTCTCTGTAATAAAGTCTGTGGATTTTCTGTCAAAATATAGGCTTGAGTTCACACAAAACAATAAATATAATTTCTGTGAACGACTTTTCCTTTTTTGTACATGTACAAAATGGAATGTCTCTTTTATCCAGTACTTTTGCTATTCTGATTTTATTACACTTTGAAAATGTCGTAATACACAGTGCTACAATAGGGGTCAAAACCCTTAAGTGTACATTACAGAATATGAAATAGAACAAAGAATGACATAATAATTGTCGGTTAATAACACATACAGAATATAAGGCAAATACAGAATATAAGGTTGCAGCACTTTATAAACATTCATTCAAACATAATGAACCAATAATTGTAATTTTTCGGTTATCTAAATGTGTATTGTTGTGCATAATTTAATTCATTTTTATGCAAAATAAGAACAGCTCGACAACATAACGTAAATATTCTGTTTCGTTAAATTCAAAATATCGCTTTTACTATATTAATTATAAATGTCATGTTTAAATGGGTTTATTTAATCCCCTTTAATTTTGATAATATTTTTCTTACTTAATTCCTCCTTTAGCTCTCATTTGACTGGTGCTGAAGTTCAGATGTCCACTAGAGGTAAACGGTGATTCATGTACAGGAACCGGATGAAGAGTTACTCGGAGTCCAAACATCTCAGCAAGGCGATGTAGTATATACCTTGACATATTCAGATGGTCACCAATAGATACACCGGAACAAGGTCCTATTTGATACTCCCACTAAAAATAAATTAACATTCACGATAACATGATATAAAAGAAATAAGAAATAAGTCGAAGATGAATGTAAATGAAGAGTAAACAAATTATCAACATACAGCTACAATCACTAATCAATTAATTGTGTGAAAATAAACATATAGACACCAACAATGGACAAGAGCCAACATCCTATCAAAAACTCCGAATCGACATAATGTAGACAAATTTTAAATTTATTGAATGTCACACAAACATCTTAAAAGACAACGCAGATGCAAAGACGGTCAAAAGTCAATTGCCGTGATTTCTTACTTAATATTCAAAAGATATGAACGTATGATTGGTTAAACTTGATAGTAAATTACGTTAACTCTATCCATTTGTATCTCTATTTATCTCAGTTTAAAAAAATTCTCAAAATCAACATGTTTTAACATATAATATAATGCAGTATCAAAAAAGGCTAGGAGAAAGCCAGACTTATTCAACCTGCTGGTTATATGAAATTATTCCTTTTAACTTTCTAATAATGATCACCATTCGGCAAGCTAAAGAAGAAAACAAATGAAATACAATATGTAATTACCTGTGATGCATCATTTTCTCTAATATTTCCACCTATATCAACACCAGCATATAGACATGCCATCAGATGACGATTTGACAACTCTCGCTCTATGCCGACATTTTTGGCATGTTGATGACCAATTTTGGTGACGAGTACTACAATGATAACAGATTAACAGGAAGGATTTTAAATTATTTAAAACAGAAAATGTATGAAAGTCAGTTGAGAATTGACGGTATAATAGTTGCAATTCTTTAGAAAAAAATGTGTTATTTTATATGAAATATCAGTATCTTATTTCACACTTTTCTATAGTAATGTACATTTCAATTGAAATTTTAATTATAAAAAAATATTTTGTGTGTAATTCTATTGAAATATAATTAATTGATATAATTTACACAGTGTAAAGGTGAGCTATACAAGAAATCTACGAAAGTTTGTTTTGGATTACAACAATGTCCAGCAGGATTTGTCCAAGTGTCTCAACTTTAATGCACCTTTATGACCATACAATTAAACCTATATTAATGTATGGCAGTGAAATATGGGGAATGTTTTCAACCACTTCAGTTGCATGTAAGAAGAAGAACGATTATCGCTATTTTACGAAATTTTCCTTTGATATTAATGACTGATAATTTCCTTTCTTAGCACAGTAGAGTGGTACGAAAAATTATCGCTAGAAACTAAGGACGCACGTGCCCGTTGTCAATAAAATTAACAACGTCGTCATAGGTAAAATAGTGATAAACAGATTATCATTGGTCATCTCAACTCGATTGCTTTTCGCACTTTCGCCGTGCCGGTTCAAGCGAAAAAATCAATCTCGTTGAGATGACCAACGATAATCTTTAATTACATTTAAGAAAAGGTTTATGCAATAATAGGTTATAGAACACAAAGGATGGTTTATTATATGATGCATATATTTGTAATAAAAAGTTACATGCAAAAGTAAAAAACATTGATAAATGGTTTTCTAGTATTGATTTCTTAATGAAAGAACTAGACTTGGAAAATTTAAATGTAAAAGTTGGCCGATTGTGTACTATAGTTTAAAATAAATTATGTAAAAGTTTTCTGAATCATTGAAAAGAATTTAGAGAAAATACTGTTGAATCAGGTAAAGGTAAACTCTTGACTTATTTTTCAATTAAACATTGTTTTGGTACAGAAAAATATCTGGAATTGAAAGAATTAAAGATAGACAAGCACTGTGCAAGATGAGAATAAGTGCACACCCCCTAAAAATAGAGACGGATAGATATGCAAAAAAACTATAAAGATAAATCACAAAGATTATGTAAAAAATGCACGTTGGGTAAAGTTGAAGACGAAGAACATTTTATATGTCAATGTCCCCTTTATAATCTCTTGGGAAAAGAGTTATATGATAAAATTTTGTTGTAAAAATTTCGAAATGTTTAACACAAGTGCAAAGTTTAAATGGCTTTTTATTCAAGAAAACCTAGATGTATTGAAAATTATTGCAATTTATGTTAATAAATGTTTTGAACTCAGAAAACTATAAATAAAGTACAGATATGTTTTTATGTAACCCATTGAGAATATTTGCGTCAATATTAAATATAATTGGTATGCTTGTTTTACTAATATGTGTATGGCTCTGATTTGGCTTTGGTTTATCTCAGAATTGTGATGATTATGTTGAAGGCCGTACGGTGACCATTAATTGTTAATTTCTGTGTCATTTGGTCTCTTGTGAAGAGTTGTCTCATTGGCAATCATACACATCTTCTTTTTTATTTATTCCTATTTATATATGATTATCAACATTATTGTGTCACTCATCTAAATTATTGTAATAAATTACTTTGCTCCTCATGGGCCCTTTAATTGGAATAAAAATATCTTATCTTATAATTTACATTTGTGTAATTGCATTGCAAAAAGTGTTCAAGTTCGATCGTATGATCTTTTGTGGTTTTGCCTTGTATGTTAGGGCCTATTGTGATTTTATTGCAAAACGTGTTCAAATCGGACCTTATCATTGTTTCGCCTGCTCTGTTAGGGTCTAATTGGATTTTCTGTAGTCTCATTGTTTATGTTGTTTTTCTCACTTAAAATAAGTCGTTTCAGGATCACGTGAAACATACACTTCAATATAAATATTTAGTTCTTAATAGCTTGATAACAATGCATTACAGTCCAACAAAACTGTTATAAAATTCAGTGCAGAGTTAAACTAAGCATTTAATTCGACCTATATATGAAAGTTGACATCGTACCATGGACAAGAAACACGTCAGACATTAAAATGCATTATTATAACACCATTACTTTCTGACATTTTTAATAACAAAATTTTCATATATACTTTTGAAATTTTCAAAATATCAAATGTCAAAACTGTTTTTTTTTTAACTTTGGAAATTCGAAATTGAAAAGGATTTTTTCAGTTTTACTGTGCTTATTTGATACCGACTCTTTAATTTATTCTAGACAATATTATAATAACAGACTTAATTGAATAAGACCGGTCGAATAAGTTTGAAATGTCCATATGATCCTTGACAAAGTTTATTTGATTTACTCATTTACAAAATATCAGTCATGGAATGGTGAGATTCAACAAAAAAAAACTTAACAATTTGTATACCGTTTACCCTAAGGGTAAAACATAAATCTTAGTTTTAACAGGTGTGGGTTATTTTTATGTAGTATTTTGTAGACTATTTTTTGTCTTTTCATCTTTTTTTTTTTTGTTTTTTTTTCTTTGCCATAGTATCGTCAGTTTTAGTTTAATTATGCTTTGATTTCTTCTGTCTCCTTCGTTTATGGTAACCATTTTCGTAAACGGGTATTGAAGTATAACTACCTTTTCTGTAGTAGTAATTGTTAGAAACTGTCTAATAAGTCTGTTGCAAAACCATCACTGATCAATGACTATTTACTTTTTTTTTTAAATATTGGATAATTTGCTGGACAGCAATATCTTATTATGAATTATCAAGAAGGAGGATGAATGATACGCTGTAATATAATTAAAAGTATTTACCCAATGATTCATAATCAAACTTGTCAGGTTCGTAGCTGATAGGAATTCCATCTTCTGCAGTCACGAAGTATTCTTGTTCAATACCAAACCATGGTTCAAAAGGTTGTTTGGGTCTGTAACCAGTAGCTTGATCATAATCAAGCTTCTCCATTGTTTTTTTGCAGGTCTGGCGTGTATTTATGGCTTCAAGAAAATTAGATGTTATCAAGTGAGAAATCAAAACTCGTCAGTTGAAAAAGCAATATTATGTCTAAAAGAAATCAATTCAAAACCAAAGGCAAACAAAACTTGACAAAACAGTAGACAAACAACTAATGACAGAACAAAATAACCTACATTAAAATGGAAGTAAAAGTAGTCCCTCCTGCACTAATGTGCACGTTAAGTTTCCTCTGTCATGCAAAAATCGGTGATAAGTCTGACATTTCATTACCTAGAAAAGGAGGATCAAGTTGTGACAAACAGAATATATTCATAGTCATCTATCTGTAAACTCATGATGTAATACATATCGATGAGATGTTTTCGATTAACGATTGGGAATACCAAACCATGGTTCAAAAGGCTGTATGGTTTTCGATTAACAATTGGGAAGACTTGGTTCACTAAACTCCTTAGAAGCATCAACCCTCTATCAAGGAAATCTTTATCAAATCACGAATAACTTATCAATTATGAGATTAAAATACGCCAATTAGATTGTGATGCTTCTTAGTTAATACATATAAATGGAAAGTACTAAAATTGAAAAATTGAAACGTGTCGTAAAAATTGCTTCTAACCCGATCTCATTGACGATTACTAGATGTATGTCTGACTTAGCCGTAGTTGTGGTATACCTTTAGTACATTGTAATAAATGCAATCAACAGAGGCATACAATTTTTAATTATAAAGTGAAAAGACATCTAATATGAGGTACTTAGTATGCCTCATGTTAAAATAGGAACAAATCGAGAAGATAATAAGCATAGTTGGCTTGCATAGGATTGCAGAGTGTTTTTTTTAACATGTCCAGCAAACATTTTGCTGTCAATACAAAAATCAACATTTTGATATTGTAAGTTTAGAGAAATGATTTGGAAGAGTGTTTTTTTAATATTTCGTGTCCCTTCTTTAATCAGTGTATTTGTATCTCCTTTTTATGACGCAAATCAAATATATATGTCTTTTGATTTAGAATAGGGAATCAATAGACTTGTGTAAATGGTAGAAAAGTCAAATGTTTTATACATGAGAATATGCAGATTCTTTCTTTGTATGTACCCTAAAAATCTTTTGAAACATTTAAGAATTCAAATTACTTCTTCGGTAGATAGTTTCAAAATGATATATTGTAGTTTCAACTTTCAAATTCTGACGCCTAGAGGGCAACGAATATAGATGAAATTAGCCATACCTATGTTTGTTGTAATTTAATGGCTTTTAAACTATATACATTCTGTTGAGATAACTTGATAGTCGGACGTTGTGATTTATATTCAAATTAAAGACAGGGGAAACCAGGGGTTAACTCCACGGGGGGTCTCTTGCTATATGAAGGTATATACATATGTGCCGCTGGAATGGGTCCCTTTTCTGATAAGTCAAATATATCAATGGGGTGCAATTTTACCGAGGAAATATATCAATAGGTAGTAATTGACCAATTGTGATATATCAATGGGTCGTAATTTTTCAGTTTGTTGTGCAACGATCTTCACTGAATTTCCCAAAAACTTTGTCATTCAAATTTCCACATCTGTTGAAACTTATTGACACATACAGGTACTATTTGAGCTGATAAATATGAATGGGTTATGATTTCGCTGTGAAATATATGTATATGTAGGGATTTCACAATTATTCAATATATGAATGGGGGGGTGTTTTTTAAATCCCAGCTGCACAACTGTACCCAAAATTCCATATTGAGGACCCCCCCCCCCCCCCGTGATTAACTCGAAAGTACAATTGTAAAATATGTTATTTTCTGCTGATTTGACTCGATTTGAAGGTAACATGGACTTGTATGTGTATGGGTATATCAAAGTTTCTGAAATATGAAAGATCATTCAATTTTTAGTCTTGCAAGATATAACTATATCTCACTGATTTATGATTTTATATATATATTAATAATTAAGATCCATTTTGTTACATCTGGTGATCCGTTTATTTGGCAATCGCCAAAAACAGTCAGCAGGGTTTAAGAACATCCGTTGTTCGACCTGCTAGTCAAATGCGTTTTGTTAAAATATACTTTTCACTTTTTTTGGTCTTTTGGAAAATGTTGTTTGTGCTGTATTGTGAACCCTCTACTAAGAATATTTTTTGCATGCACACGTACAAAAATTGCGGTTTTTATCCAACGCAATCATAGGTTTGAACGTTGTTTTCAATTTAGATTCGTTTATATTTTTTCATTTGGGCTTGTATTATATTTGCCTTCGGGTTTATATGATCCGTTCATCCTATTTCGACTCTTCAAAATTCAAGAATCTATCCTAAATTGAGGTCAATTATATGGCCTTCCAAGTACCGTTTTGATTCCTAACATCACTGAAGAGACATTAATTGTCGAAATCCGGATATGGTGTTCTAATTTTTGCACCTTTTGTTTGCGGTATACCATCTTTTCCGCAATTTATTGTTTTCTGTTTGGTATTAAATTAATAATTAAGATCCATTTCGTTACATCTGGTGATCCGTTTATTTGGCAATCGCCAATGGCAGTCAGCAGGGTTTAATAACATCCGTTGTTCGACCTGCTAGTCAAATGCGTTTAGTTAAAATATACTTTTTCACTTTTTTGGTCTTTTGGAAAATGTTGTTTGTGCTGTATTCAGAACCCTCTACCAAGAAATTTGTTTTTTTGTATGCACACGTACAAAAATTGCGGTTTTTATCCAACGCAATCATAGGTTTGAACGTTGTTTTCAATTTAGACTTGTGTATATATATATATCTACTAGACGATACCCGCGACATCGCGGGTCCATGACTGGATTAAAGAACCTACGCCTTGTTTTTAGCCTGGATTTTTAGAATTCGTATTGTCATTTGGTAAAGCCACGCTGATTATAAGGTGCACAGTTATTCCCTGTAAAATGACGAAGTTCAGGTGTGATTTTTACCCGTGTAGATAGCAAATCCTGAATACACCGTTTGGTTGTGCGCCTAACAGAGTCGGTACGTACAGATTAGGTAACAGGGATCAGGTAATTTTGTGACATATACTATTGGAATCGGTATCGGATTCGTCCCGCAACTTGTTAATTATTGGTAATATTAAATTTTGATGCTGTTTTTATTGTGTTTGTTTGATATGTATGTATATATGTTTATTGTGTTAATTCATGTTGATCACAAACTGTAAAGTTTATACGACAATAAAATATTTGATATTTGATTAATAATTATGTGGAAAACGAAAGGGCCTAGAAATCTACACCATTGTCGTATATTATTGATATATAAAGTTTAATTCTGCGGGCAGTACGTCGACTGAGCATGCGCAAAAGCGTATAAGACACGGATCGATAACCGTCTCCGAATTTGGATATTTTCTCAAAAATTGGCGTTTTCTGTGGAAAAAAGATTGTTTCAAAGACAAATTTAGGAAGTACAAAACACTGCATTTATACGTCATATCACAAATATATTCTGACTTTGTATGGTTCAGAGGAGTTCCGTCTCAATGAAATCGGTCTCTTTCTTCAGTAGTAGTATATATATATATATATACTTTTTCACTTTTTTGGTCTTTTGAAAAATGTTGTTTGTGCTGTATTTAGACCCTTCTACAACGAAATTTGTTTTACATGCACACGTATAAAAATTGCGGTTTTTATCCAACGCAATCATAGGTTTGAACGTAGTTTTCAATTTAGACTTGTTTATATATATATATGTTTTCAATTTAGACTTCTATATATATATATATATATATATATATATATACAAGTCTAAATTGAAAACAACGTTCAAACCTATGATTGCGTTGGATAAAAACCGCAATTTTTAAACGTGTGCATGCAAAACAAATTTCTTATTAGAGGGGTCTAAATACAGCACAAACAACATTTTCCAAAAGACCAAAAAAGTGAAAAAGTATATTTTAACAAAACGCATTTGACTAACAGGTCGAACAACAAATGTTCTTAAACCCTGCTGACTGCCATTGGCGATTGCCAAATAAACGGATCACCGATGAAATAAATGGATCTTAATTATAAATTTTATACTAAAGAGAAAACAATAAACTTGCGGAAAAATGCTATACCGCAAACAAAAGGTGCAAAGGTTTTTGTACACCATATCCGGATTTCGACAATTAATGTCTCTTCAGTGATGTTAGGAATCAAAACGGTATTTGGAAAGCCATACAATTTACCTCAATTTAGGATTGACTCTTGAATTTTGAGGAGTCAAAATAGGATGAACGGATCATATAAACCCGAAGGCAAATATAATACAAGCCCAAACGAAAAAATATAAACAAGTCTAAATTGAAAACAACGTTCAAACCTATGATTGCGTTGGATAAAAACCGCATATATATATATACAAGTCTGAATTGAAAACAACGTTCAAACCTATGATTGCGTTGGATAAAAACCGCAATTTTTATACGTGTGCATGCAAAACAAATTTCTTGTTAGAGGGGTCTAAATACAGCACATACAACATTTTTCCAAAAGACCAAAAAAGTGAAAAAGTATATTTTAACAATATTTATATATATATAAGTACGTCTGAACCAGTGACGACTCTACAACAGATTTTATCTTTCGGATCACCAGCAGTGATGGTGATACAAGGCTGAAAATACATTCTGTATATATATATATATATATAAAATAACTGAATAATAGCCAACGATAAATCTTACGGGGCGATGGATCATATAATTATGATACAGTACACTACAAAATATAATATATAACAAGTCTAAAAGGGTACAGCATCACCAAAAAATAATAAAATCATGAACAAATGTTAGATATTTCGGATAACTAATATCTTTCATCAGTAAGATGTAAAATGAATCTTATCTTGACATGCGGTAGTCAAACTGAAATAATAATCTTGATCGCTATACAAATTATCAAACCGCTGGTAATTTTTTTCAATATTGATGTTTGCTCCTTAAAATGTAAGAGTTCAGTACGGAAGCCTGAGTTACTGGAAACAAGTGATGGTAGGAAAATGAGTGATGGTAGGGAAAATGAGTGACTCATTCTATGTTTTTTTCATGTATGCCCTCTGGGGAAATTGTCCTTAGCTTTCTTATCCAAAACCTTTCCCGAGCAAGTATGTCGGCCTTTGACCAACCCTCTTTGTGGTCTATGATAGTGATGGTAAGGTTTTTGAGATCAGCTTGGGCGTGCCAAGGTAATCTCAAATGACGACTTACGGGGGGTCGGGCTTGCAAGTGTAGTCACTTCGATGACCATTCATGTGTTTGTTGAATGGCTGTTCTGTCTCGCCAACATACTGCATGCCACATCGACACTGAAGAAGGTATACAACATTCTGGGTTTTGCAAGTTTCATTGCAAAATATAGTGTACACAGACCCAGTGGAGTGGCAAGTAAATGTTTGAGTATTCAGTATTTGTTGCTAAGTCAGACATCGTCTGTTACCACACGACTTACACCATCCTGCAGTTGAACAGCTTTTATTAGAGGAGACATCAGCTCTCACAAATAAGTCTTTCAGACTTGCTGGTCTCCGAAAAGCTAAGACAGGAGGTTTGGGAAAGATCTTGGATAATTTTGGGTGATTGGCAATAATTTTCCAATTTGCACGGATCAAACGTGAAAGGTTAGTAAAGGCGGGATTGTATGTTAAAACAAACGGAACTATTTCGCTGCGCCTCTTGTTTGTACTGTAATAGGTCATTGCGGCTGTTATTGTTAGTACGCGCAAACCCCTTATCTATTTCCCATTTCTTATGATATATCTTACATACATAGATAAGGGGTTTGCGCAGATATATAGATATATATGAGACCTCGTTTAGGGTTTAACGACTCCTTTATTAATGTTACTTATTGCTGTACTAAATAGCATTAAATGTGTTATCACCTGCAGGTTGATCCTTTGTTATCCAAAATTCACATAGTACTAGCTTGTGTGGACTTTTGTAAAAAGGATTCTCGAACATTGCCACCGGTTTCAGAATCATATCTTTCAAATCTTCAAGTCTGCCACGAACATCATTCCACATATAATTATCCCACATTGGACATTCTAAGAATGCAGTACAGAAGTTAATTGATTTATATTAATTGTGCACATTAGAAAAAACAAATTTTGAAAAGGATTTTTTGTTGTTTTTTCTTGTCTGTAATTATTCTGTGTATAATTAAGGGAAGAAACTTTCAGTTGTATTACTTATAGTTAAAGTGTTCTTTCTTCAAACTTTGAACAAAACGTTACTGACAATATCACTATAAAATGCATGCATATAAATAAGCATATTTTAATCACTCTGTTTAATTTGGGATTTTTTTTTCAACATTTATTACAACGAATATTAAAAAATATCCAATCATTCAATAAATCTTGAACATTACCTTCAACACTTTTTGGCTCTTTTTCGACAACTCTTGTTTTAGAGCATAACTCAAAACCAGTGTGATTGACAAAAACATATTCTAAGACAACCCGATTCCCTCTGTATGGGATTTCTGGAATCATCAAATCATACTTGTGAGTTGTCATGATGTTACTTTATGTCCTAAAAAGAATTTTGAAAATAAAATTTTCTCTATAAATTAGCTTTTTGAAAATTTGTAGTTCAGTTATATATCGATATAATTTTGCTTAGTTTCTTTTGTTACCTATTCTGACATCGGACTCGGACTTCTTTTAAACTAAGTTTTACTGTGCGTATTGCTGTGCGTTTATTTGTTCTACATTGGCTAGAGGTATAGGGGAGGGTTGAGATCTCACAAAACATGTTTAACCCCGCCGCATATTTGCGCCTATCCCAAGTCAGGAGCCTCTGTCCTTTGTTAGTCTTGTATGTTTTTTTAATTTTAGTTCATTTATAAATATGTTTTGGAGTTTAGTATGATTTCCATTTTCACTGAACTAGTACACATTTTTATTTAGGGACCAGCTGAGGCCCACCTCCGGGTGCGGGATTTTCTCGCTGCGCTGAAGACCCATTGGTGGCCTTCGGCTGTTATCTGTTCTTCGGTCGGGTTGTTGTCTCTTTGACAGATTCCCCATTTCCATTCTCAATTCTATTTATTTAATTCATTGTCTCATATCGTATGTTGTTATTAATACCAGCCATAAATCATTAAAAGCATTTTTCGTTTGCATTGTTTCTCATTTTATCATACGGCCCTTTTACATGTATAGCTTACTATATGGCATGATTTTTGCTCATTGTTTAAGGCTGTACAACGGTAACACACAGTTGCTAGTTGCACGTCATTTGGACTCTGGTTAACTCTGAACAACAGCAATAAAAGCTCTGTTCCTTTGCTATTCGTGTGGTTTTTTTCCTGTGCATGTACTGATTTTGTATCATGGATGGATACCCCATATCCTTTGTGTTTCTATCAAATTGGAAATCATACAATATATATCTCCTCATTTTTATGAAATCCAAAAAATACAAATCTAATTATTTATCGGAAATTTGTACATTTTCCTTTTAATCTTACTGCCTAATATTTTTTAAGATCATGGACAGGACTTGATACTCGAAATTATCGGTCGTCCCACTGTCTATATCACTCTGCTCAGCTCTTAATAAAATTGCATATCACGGCTTTGTGACGTCAAATACGTTGACCCGGCCTTAATAACTTTGACCCGGACATATCAGCGACGTCAGAATGTTTGAACCGACGTTGATAAGTTTGACCCGAACTTATCAAGTCATCTTCCGGTTTGCTGGTGAAACAAAGAAAACACTTCCAAAATACGCAAATACAGCCCGATTAATCGATTATCAGGTTGTCTGCATATTGAGATTGTAAAATATCAGCTGCTCGACACAATATGAAGGCTTTTTGAACTCGTTCGCTGCGCTCACTCGACAAAAAGCTTCATATTGTGACTCGCAGCTGATATTTTACAATATCAATATGCAGACAACCTGATAATCGCTACATATTAGGCAATGACGTCATGTATCAGTGCAGCAACGTCGCGTGCTCAAGTCCATCCGCGTCAATTTATCAATGAAATGCAAGCGACTTCATTCATACAACCGAACAATAATCACAACGTTTTGTACGCGGGAAAGTAGTTTTACTAACTATTTCATTTTACTTCATATCCTCAACCAAAAAAGCACAGTTATGACAAATTGCCAATAAACAGAAGTCCCCCACTGATCTTCTCAAAGAGCTGTTAAAATGTGACTATACAGGCTGGAGGCGTAGTACTCTTTCATCATGGAACATCGGATAAAGCGTCTCCATTACACACATAGCTGCTGTGTATTTAGGGACCGGTCAAACTTTCTTGATGCATGGGACCGGTGCAAACTGTAATGGGACAAGCACTTTTTGCAGTGTTTACAGGAATGGGACTCAATGTTTTTTTCATTATTGGCAAGCATGGGACATGAACTTTTTGAAACAATGTCTGTATATGAAAAAAAAAATATTTGATAAATCTATAACAAACAAAAATAACATCATGAACATCTAGCAATGTGAATTTAACAGTTACAACATACCAAATTCATTTTCAAGATTTAGGGACTGGTCAATATTTATTGGGGGATTGGGACCGGTGCAAAACGCAGTAGGACACACATTTTTTTAACTTAATTTTTGATAGGACTTCTACTTTTTTAGTTTTCAGCACTGATAGGACAGCAATATTGTTATGGCATATGTATGAATCAACAGAATGTAGAAAATAGTCTATACAAATTTAATTACAACAAAATAAACAAGATTAATTGAGGAACCAACAAGTAACATATGGTGTAAATCAGCCCATCTAACTAAATTAAATATAGATCTATCAAAATTTCAGTTTTTTTGGTAGTTTGGTTCATTGCTGTGAAATTAAAGAATTAAATTAATAGGTACAAAAAATTCAGAGAGTCATCTTTAATTATTTTTATAACTTTTTCAAATCAACTTGGATTTTCATCAAACTATACAGCTTTTTCAGTTGTATATTGATCTTACTGAATCCCAGGTCGTTATGAAGTTTGTTGTATTGCTGTCAAATTTAAGGATTGAATTAATCTAGGTAAAAAAAGATAGAATTTGCATTTTGGACTAAATTCAGATAGTACACTTTAATGTTTTTTATAACTTTTTCAAATCAACTTGGATTTTCATCAAACTATACAGCTATCTCAGTTATATACTGATCTTACTGAATCCGAGGTCGTTATGTAGTTTGGGGTATTGCTGTCAAATTTAAGGATTAAATTAATCTAGTTCAAAAATCTAGAATTTGCAGTTCAGACTAAATTCGGATAGTTAACTTTGAATTATTTTATAACTATTTCAAAGCAACATGAATTTTCATCCAAATCTACGGCTATCTTCATTATATTTTTATCTTACAAAAAAACAGGTTATTTGATAATTTGGTTTATTGCTGTCAAATTTAAATATTTAAATTATAGGTTTCTATCTGAATTTTGTCAAAACTGAAAATTTTAGCCTTTTTTACCTATTAACTAAGTCCTTAAATTTGACACAATACACCAAAACACAAAACAACCTGGTATTTTGTAAGATAAATATATAATAAAGATAGCTGAAAAGTTTGATGAAAATCCAAGCTGATTTGAAAAAGTTATAAAATTTTAAAAATGACACCTTTGTTTTGTTAAAACAAGAATTTAATATAATCATGATAATAGAACTTTCATAACAATCCTTGATAACCTTTTAAAAAAGGAAATGTGTTCCAAAGCTACAGTAAAAATTTATTTTAATCAAACTTAAAGGGAAAATTCGCGATTTTTTACTTATCATCTTATTATGTTCATAATACCATAAAAAACATATTCACCAAGTTTTATCTGGATATGAAAACTAATAAAGAAGAAAATTGGGAATTATTAATTTTATTTATTCGAACTTCCTGACTTCTGTGACGTAGTTTAAGTCTTTTTGCATGCCGGGAGTGGAATTAACCTCATTTAAGTCTTGTTCGTTGATCATCTAATAACGCGATTTAAAGCGCATCGACGACTTTTGGCGTAGCTATTAACCAACTATTAATTAAGAAAGTAAAGTGATCAGCCGTGCAACTGTTAAAAATAAAATGTACGATTTATATTTTAAGGATTTCTGATATGATTATAGTCATTATACTAATAAAAGTAAATCATACAATAGAATATTTTTATGAAATTTTTTTCCGACGGATATTTTCAACAAACATATTTAACTGATAGTGTATTAAAATGCATGTTTGTATTCTCACCTTTTACTTCAGTCTAGCAAACATTTTCCGCTAGTACCGTGTAAATACAATGTGTATTGTACTGTGACACTTACTGACTACCTGTTGAATGCGTGGTTAAATTCAAGGTATTTAAAGGTTTGCATTCTGTAATTCTAATCTTTTTATCTTCACTCAGTGAATTTTAGCCGTCACGGTTCACCGTTCCAGGTGTGAACATCATTTCGTATGAATGATAAACGGGAGTGATAGTTTGAGACAGAAAATAAAAAAAAATATAATTATTTTGAGGGAGTAATATGGTGGCACAATAACTGGATAGCCGTGGTATATTTTTATATTTTCCGTAAGCTCAGTTTAAAATGAATTATGGCTGCTGAATATTTTTGTAACAATGAAATACTGAATTAATTTAATTGAATAAATAATAATGGCATTCTAAACACGAGTGTATGAACTAAAAATTGTACTATTTTAAATTAGAATCAGTAACCGTGAATATTTGAAATAGATAATTACCAATTGCAATTATATAATTTGGTCCGTCCAAAGCGATCTTTATTTACATATTCAGGAATTAATGTCCTTATCAAAATATTTTAAATCTCACAACGTATAAATACTTCAGCCATTTGAAGAAAGATAATTAAAAAGTTGACAAGAATTTTAAGGTCAACTTTGTCTTACTGGAATGAGATCGAATAATTAAGAACAAAAATTATTTTGAGAAATGTGGGTTTGAGACAGAAAAAAATAATTATTTGGGGAGGAATATGGTGGCAAAATACCTGAATCGCCGTTATATATATTTTTTATATTTTGCGTTAGCTCAGTTTTTAAATAGATGAGTGAGTATTTTGTTGTAACATCGGAATTCTGAATAACTTTCAATGAAATAATTTTATAAATAAAAATGGCCCACGAAAACGAGCGTATAAACCAAAAACTGTGCTATTTTGAATTATGATCGGTAACCTTGAATATTTAAATGTGCAGAGAAAATTATCAGTTACATTAATATAATTTGGTCCGTCCAAAGCGATCTACATTTGCCTAATCGGGAATGTCCTTATTAAAATATTCTACATCTCACAACAAATACTTTAGCTATTTGACCAACGATGTTTAAAATTTTTTTACAGAATCAATCTAACGTCAACTTGCCTTTATTGAATGGAGACAGACCGGCGGAATCAATGTTCAATATGCTTTATATCTTGTACCTTTGTAAGACTTATCATTCATTCATAAACCATGTCTATACCGCAGACAAATATATACATATAATTATATGTCTGTCTTAACTGACAAGAATACTCCTGGTTTTACGCTAGT